CCCATTTCTGAAAAAGGGTCTAGGCCCGAAACGTCAGCTTTCCTGCTCTTCTGATGCTGCTTGGCCTGCTGTGTTCATCTAGCTCTACACCTTGTTATCTGAGATTCTCCAGCATCTGCAGTTCCTACTATCTCTTCCTAGAACATTATCTGGGTCTCTAGATTAACAGTCCAGCAATAATACCACTAGGCCACTGCCTCCCTTGTGATTGGAGGAATTTAACATTTGTTCAATTAAGGACATTTGGGACGAAATATGGCAATGGATTTGAACTGAACAGACATTATTACATTAATATATAATACATTTTATCCCAATTAGGAACAAATTAGGAACAAATTAGCACCAATGTGTAGTTCTATCATCCCAGATCATAACGAACATTTCTGCTAATTTGTGATTTAGCAGTGTTGATCATGAGTGTACCATTACTAAAAATTAACAATCCAGAATAAACCTTGTCACATTTGTAATAGAGTTAAGAATAAAAAACAGATTCCTTAAACTGAATGAGACTTCTAGCCTCAAGCAGGATTTGTACTTACTTTGGTAGTCCTTTGATACATGCAGCCAAATCCTTGGTCATGAAACCAGATTCGATAGTTTCTACACAAACTCCTTCTAATAAGGTACAGAAGGTCTGTAGCTCAGAGTTATTATCCAGCTTTGCCCTATGGGCTAGTCCTCGAGTCCAAGCAAAGATGGAAGCTTGAAACAAAAATTGGTGCGAAGAGAGTTGATGGAGAAGAGTCTTGCATAAAAACATACTATTAGGCAAGAAAAGTACTTTTAACCAACTCTATGATTTAACAGACTATTAAGCACTGAACCATTATTGCAATATGTTAAGTACAGAAGAAAACATCTTTGGGAGATTCATAGCTCACAGATGAAATTATAAAAGAAGAGAAGCGATGTGATAATGGGAGAGATGTCCACATAACTTTAAAGCAAGAGAGACTGTCGTTGATCTTAAGCAGAGGGTTCCGGGCCTTACAGTTTAAAGCAACTGATGGCTTTATCATCCTTGATGGTTGGAAGAGAGCAGCATAGGAAGTGAAATGAGGTTGGAGGAAGTTGTAAAGTTTGAAGTAAATTAGAAATGGAGTGGTTTGAAAATGAAGGCAAGTTTAAATTCGACCCATTAGAATAGGTATCCAAAGTAATTCATAGGCAGCTGTGATTGGTAAGTCGGCCTAGAAGAGAGGAAGTTTGAATGTATTGGGAGATTTGGAGATCAGCAAGAAAGATTTTGGGGAAATCAACTCTAGAGATATCATAAGAATTGATAAAGAGTGGCAGTAACATGAAATTGTGACAGTAAGCAATTTTGGTGGCAGATGGGATTTAGAATTTAAAATTTAGCTTAAGCAGTAAGGAATAAGAGACTTGTGAAGGAACTAGTCAAACTATTTCACTAGGGCTAAGAGGAGGTTTCGCAGATTTGAAGGACTTGTGAGTTGTAAGGAAGATGAGCAAGATTTCAGAAATGAGAGAAATGGCAATAAAATATTGCATATAAAATATTGAGTGTTTTGAAACAATGGTCAAAGAAATACTGTTCCTTGGAAAGTCATCAATTGAAAATGGTCACAAATGAGTCATGAATTTTAAGAGAATTTTCTTTAGCGGACTGTTGAGAGCAAGAAATACTTTGCTATAAACAATTCTGAAGACAGACCATTGAACCGTCTAGGGAAGGGTTGATATATTTGAATCAGGAGAAGGACAGTGAAAGTAGTTTTGCAATGTTTTAATAAAAATGACAACACAATTAACTTCCTTCTATTAAGTTCTATGGTTCTAAACTCATACATTTCTATTACCTTTTTTTTTATAATTAACAATTTGAAATTCACTTATCTGGTTGTTAACTGCTGAATCTAGATCTCCAGAATTTTAAATCTTTTTCTAAACATTATGCTTTCAATAAAACTTGGTGTCACCTACAAAATTAAAGAGTGTAATTTTGACAGTAAAGTCCCAATACTCAGCCTAAAGTATTATGTTGATTATACACAGCAATGTAGTAATTACCGTAAAAGAGTCAGCAACCCAGCTGCCCTGACTTAAATGGCAAAAGTGAAAGTGAATTCAATAAATTTGCTACTGTGTATCCAATACCAGGAAAACAAAACCCATAAAGATGTTAGATTTTCTAAGTATCCATCTAGTTCATTATGCCTTATAGAGTGGTGAATCTATCATCTCTACTTGGTTTGGTTCATACAAAACTCCATTTTGTGATGAAGGTTTGTAATATACTATTTTTAGGGAATTTCATTTCTAAAGTAGAAGTAAATGAGATTTTGGTTTTCAGTTTTTGCAAGTATTCAGAAATGTCTTTTTAGGCAATGGATCAAAACGGTATTTCCATGAAAACATATGACTTGAGCACAAATTATTTCCTTCTAGAAATTAGTTAAATGGTTAGACAAGCTACCTGATGAGCTAATTCTGAAATGTTCACTTTAAGATCTACAACCTGGGCAGACAGATGGAGAGGGACCTTCAGCTCCAGTTCAGATAAAAAAGATCCATACCACTGAAAGAACAGTTTGATGTTGACAGTCTCCAGGCCATCAGAGCTGGAAAAAAATTTTCAGTTGTTTTAGCAGTCCTTGTAAAAAAAGGCTAGAAAAGCCCTCAGCTTTTCAAAGAGTTCAGTGAGAAAAGGTCAGTCAGTCAGCTGTTGGTGTTTTGTGTGTCTTGGAGAGACAGTAACACACAATGAAATCTGACGGATGTGGAGTAAACCACTGAGACACTCCCAACTTGTCAGTTGAGAAGGAAATTAAAGAATGAAGATCAGAGTGACACTTCAGTGGGGTTGACTGCCCAGAAGGAAATCGCTGGATAAGATGGTTGAGTCTCTCTCTTTGTTTTTTATACATTTTCAAACTCTCTTATAGCTTTGTTCCATTCTTTTTCTTTTTGAGTAATAAACTTATGTCATTTTGTTAAAAGTACATTATCAGCCTCTTGTTAATATGTTCAATGACTGATAACAAGTTAACTAAATTGCAAATATTAAACTTATGATCTATCAAGCCAAGTTTTACTCTGGAATCAAACCTGTCCAGTATAACCATCAGCTGTATGATAACAATTTCCACAAGATGTGGTTAGCTGTTCATGTCCACAAAGTAATTGTGTTAGGCAGTAAATGTTCTTGTTTCAAAATTTCCCACATCCTGAACAGATATAGAAAATACAACTACTCATCATTACCTTTGGTTCCTGTTAAATAACCAACTTATTACAGAGTCTTTACCATGGTTTCACAAACCTTTAGTTGCAGCTTTCACAAGAACCACACAATGTTTTCCAACAAACTTAAAAAGAGTAAAATTTCCACAGTACTTCACCAATTTGTCCCAGTGGATGAGCCATAAAAATCTCCATACAATAATACTTACACCTGTTTTCCTCAGCAATTTAAACAATGGATGGAATGGAAGAACTTCATGGAAATTCATCTCCTAAATATCAACATTACCAAACCTGTAAAACCTTTGTTTCATGAAGATAAATGATTCTGAATTATTGCTGTAACTCCAATGATTTCTTCCATTTAGGTAAACTAAGAAAAATTCATCTCCTAGAATAAACTAGTACAATGGAGATGTTGGGCTTTACTCAGATCTAATATCAAGTAAAATGCATTTCAAGTTAGTATATTTTGAGACTACCATGTAATACACTGCAACTCTGTGTTAACATTAATAAAATAGAATAGTTATACTTTGCAATTAATTTTATATAAAGACAAAACAAAATAATTTTACCAATTGGATTGGTTGAAGTTTCCTTGCCCTGCTGGTGCATACGGTAATGGCGAGTAACAGTACCATGGGCTGCCTCAGCTTCTACTGTCTTACCATCAGGACAAAGCAACACGCTCGTCATCATTCCCAGTGAGCCATACCCTGTAGGCAATTACAAAAAAATCTTTTAAAAACAAACAAAATAAAGAAACTATAGTACAATCCACAAGTGATTAGATAAAAGAAAAAGGTCAGCCTCTCATTTTTTTGTCAAATATAGGCACCAAGAATATACAAGAACTGGAAGCAATTTTTCAATAAGTTTGACCATTTATATCTTACTTATCTTCTGTGTTAATTTGAAATTGGGAAGTCTGGTATTTCAAGAACATTTGTGTAGTTGACATGTACTTTGCAAGTTATTTTGATAAATTTCAAATCAAACTGTAGAATATAATGTTGACATTCATCAGTAGAATTAGCTAGTTACTATATATTATCAAGTGTAGAATAACATAAACAAACTGGCAAGAATACCTTGTGCAATAGAATCAGATTGTACATCACCATCATAATTTTTACAGGCCCAAACGAAGCCACCTTCAGATTTTAGTGCTTGAGCTACCATGTCATCAATTAGTCTGTGTTCATACCAGATTCCTTTGGCCTCAAACTGTGCTTTGTATTGGCTGAAAGAGAAAGCAATTCTGGGTTAGAAAAGTATCTTTTTACTTTAAAGCAATGACATCTAGTTAATCTTCTTACCTCAACAACTGTACCATAAAGTCAAGTTTTCCAAATGTTTAAAATTTACATGTCCCTCCTCTTTTTAGGAACCTAAATGCATTCTCCTGTCATTGTTTCTTCCTTCAGATGATAGGGCTAGCCAGTTTGGTCCACAGGCTTCTTTATGGATCACTGCCACAGGTGAATCAGTCTCTTGTTCACCAATCAAAGAGTGACATAAGCAAATAAACCACAGCCAAAGTGCCCATCCTCTTTTACAACTAAAGGAGCTTCAAGAAGGAAGATTTCTTTCCAAAAAACAAAAGAATAATGTATGGAAAAAAGTGAGTGTGGCAGCAGTAAAAAAAAAACATTGAGATCATTACTTTAAAAGAGTTACTTTTCATAGATTTCCTGGAATATGTCCTTGAATCGTCCATCGTATTTCTTCAGTATGGTATTCTTTGTGCTCATGTATAAAGGCCAGCCTTTAGCAAGAGCTTGCTGGAAGGAGCTATGAGCGAAGTCCCTAATAGAGGAGTCAGTGTTGTACATTCCCAGAGCAACTCCTCCCCCATCTGTAACAAAACGTAGTTAATGACTTTTTTTTAAAATCAAGTCACATATAACAAAATTTGTGTTTGTCATGACTGTTTTTGGACCTTACACATAGTGTCAAAAGACTCTTGTAATTGTTAGTTCCTCTTCCATCCCACTCCTTTCTCGTTTGCAAATGTAAAAATAAACTTAATTTATAACCGGGTAGTAGTGCTTTTTTTCTTTCTATTCCTCTATGAAGTTGGTTACTTAACAATAAATCTTATTTTTTTTTCACGAGCTCTTCTCAATTGTATGTATTCTGTATTGCTTGCTGTGTGTGCATTGGTTAGGTTATCCCCGTATGTATACGTTGTGGGTAAAGTACATTTTGTTTCTTTCAAAAGATAAAATCTTCACAGTATAAAGGAAAAGTTAAGCTTTTTGATGCTAGTATGAAAAAGTATGATTTAATGTACTTGAACATTATCTGTTAGTTAAATATCATCAGTAACGGAAAACGTAAGATCTAACACAATCTACTCAACTTAAAAGAATCACATTATGCATTGTGCAGAATATGTAAAAGCACAGATTTCATAAAGCACTAATTTTAATAATGCAAATCTTACCTTTAAAATTATGAACACAGTAGGTGACAGGCTCACCATGAGCAGGTATGTATTTAATTTCAACAGAACCAGGACCAGGCACAACAAAGTCTGTAGCTCTGTACTGTGGACAAAATTTTTATCCATGACTAAATCAGAGCCAAAACAAGGTTTGACTTTATATTTTACAAGCCACATTCAATTAGATGTTTAACTTTAGTTCTAATAGAACTAGAATGATAAAGTTCATCAGCCAAAACACCCAGATTAAAATAAATCACTAGGTAGGCTCTTAACAAGCAGTAATGATCCAGTCAAAATAGCACTATATTTTGAATTGTTCTGTTTCTGTTCAAGGCTTCCCAAACTGTGGGTGATTGCAAGAATGAGAATTTTTGTCTCAAGCTCAATGGCTACCATGGAGTTCGGTCTGAGGGCCTACTGCTGCAAGAGCACCTCAAATGCTCACTTTCTTTGTGTTGGCAGATATGACCCAAAGGACAGATCTTCGAGAGCAGATTGCTGCTGCAAAAGAATGGCCCGTGAAAAGGTATTTGTTTTTACAAAACTGCAAGGATAAATTCTTACCATCAGATTTTTGCTCACCAGCTGAAGCCCATCGCCACCACTCAGCAAAGAAAGCTTCAACCTACTCAGCAGCTGAAGCCCACGATCCATCCTACTCAACAGATAAAGATCACCCTTACCATCTGCTCAACAACTCCCATACCCTCCCAGATTTTCATACTTGGAATAGTTCTGGGAAGCACTGCAGTCCTGGCTTTTAGGATCACAGTCCCCTGTTATCCATGATCATCTGGCATCGCTCACCCACGTGACCATTACTTGCACGCAAGCTTAAACAATAAATGTCCACAGGCTCTTCAATTACAAGACCAAATTATGTCTAACAGCAAGTCCATGATAACATAAATAGAAACACAGAAAATAAGAACAGGAGAAGGCGTTTTGGCCCTTCTAGCCTGCTCCATCATACAATATAATCACGGCTGATCATTCAATTAATGCCCTGTTCCCATTTGCTTCTCATGCTCTTTGATCTCTTTAGCCCAATTACTATCTAACTCCTTGAAAACATTCAATGTTTTGGCCTCAATCATTTTTTGTACTGGAAAATTCCACAGGCTCACCACTCTGGGTGAAGATATTTCTCCTCATCTCAGTCCTGAATGGTCTACTTAATATCCTTAAACAGTGACTCCTAATTCCAGACTCCCCGCTCATCAAGAACATCCTTCCTGTTTATCCTGTTTAATCCTATTTGAATTTTAGAGGTTTATATGCGTCCCCGCTCATTTTTCTAAACTCAAGTAAATATAGTCCAAAACGATGGAACCTTTCTTCACACATTACGCCTGCTATCTCAGGAATCAGTCTGGTAAGCTTCCTTTGCACTTCCTCCACAACTAGAACATCCTTCCTTAGCTAAGGAGGCCAAAGGTGCACTCAGTACCCCAGGTGTGATCCTACCAGGGTCCTTTATAATTGCAGCAAGACATCCCTGCTCTTGAATTCAAATCCTCTCACTACAAACATCAACATACCATTTCCTTCTTTACCGCCTGCTGCACCTGCATGCATACTTTCAGTGACTGGTGTACAAGGATGCTCAGGTCTTGTTGCCCCTCCTCCTTTCCCAATCTATCACCATTCATATCTTCCTTCCTGTTTTTGCTACTAAAATTGATAACCTCACATTTATCCACATTACACTTCATCTGCCATGCATTTTCCCTCTCATTCAACTTGTCTAAATCACAGTGAAGCACCTCTGCATCCTCCTCACAGTGTGCCCTCCTTCTAGCTTTGTGTCATCTACCAACTGAGCTGACTGGGCAAATTCATGCATGTGCTTATTATTTTAGCTTAAGTCTATTCAAGTCCAATGTTACGTTTGAAAATTACTGTGGAGTGCCAAAAAGAGAACAACATCCCCAAGTTAAATTAATATTTATGATATTAATTCAACTAAGAATAGTATTAATATTTTCAAAGCATATTTAAAGTCCTTATTCATGATCCAGCATTTGACATCAAAAATACTTTCTATGTAGATGTCAGCTATAATACCATTCTTCAGTTGACAGATGACCAGCGACCTCAATTACAGGTACAAATAAAAGTAGAATTGTACATTGTGCAAACAACTATGATTTTCTGTCCCGTTTAGAAAATTAACAATTGTATTATGCTCCACTTAAGGGTTGAAGATATTCAGTGATAATTCTTTGTTATCTTTATTGTTCCATGGAAAATATTGTGGAGAAATTGATCCTTCATAATTCATCATCATCTCAACACATGAAGCATTTTCAACTCATTTCTTGATCAAGTTACTTCCAGAAAGGTATTTAGGGGGAGGCAATGGCCTAGCGGTATTATTGATGGACTGGTAATCCAGAAACCCAGGTAGTGTTCTGGAGACCTGGGTTTGAATCCCCCCAGAGCAGATGGTGGAACTTGAATTCAATAAATATCTAGAATTAAGGGTCTAATGATGACCATGAATCCATCGCTGATTGTCAGAAAATCCCATCTCGTTCACTAAAGTCCTTTAGGGGACAAAACTTCCACCTTTACCTGGTCTGGCCTACATGTGACTCCAGACCCACTGCAATGTTGACTCATAATTGGGCAATTAGGGATGGGAAATAAATGCTGGCCTAGCCAGCAATGCCCTCATCCCCTGAATGAATAAAGAAAATTTAGTAGTTTCTTCAATTCACTCTTCAATTTACATCAATGTCATGCCCCAGTTATATATTCTATACATTTGTTATTCTCTGTACATCTTCACTGGCCATTCCCCAAGTCAGCAAAAAACTGGACAACATGTGAAACTTATACAAAGGCACATCTAGCAACGTAATCAGACTGGTATGTGCTGGTGCATCAGCACAGTGCATCTCCTTGATTTTTATTAAATTTTGTTTTTGATCTCTTGACAGCATTCCTTGACAAGCATTTCACGAAAAGAAAATTATGGTAGAAATTTTGTGGACAATGGTATTTTTGAAATTAACAAGGAAGTTATTCACCAGACCAGTGGAAATGTTCATAGAATCCCTACAGTGTGGAAGCAGGCGTTTTGGCCCATTGGGTCCACACTAACCCTCAGAAGAGCATCCCACCCAGAACCACTCCCCTGCCACATCCCTGTAACCATGCATTTTCCGTGGCTAATCCACTTAGGTTGCACATCCTTGGACACTATGGGCAATTTAACATGGCCAATCCACCCAATCTGCACATCTTTGGACTGTGGGAGGAAAGCGGAGCATGCAGAGGAAACCCACACAGACACAGGGAGATTCCTGGCACTGTGAGGCAGCAGTGCTAACCACCGAGTCACCAGGCTGCCCATATATAATTGTATGAACAGTACTTCACACATTCGTGAGTGCCAACACAATCAATACTAAAAGATTGAGCTCAATTTCCCAGCCAATTGGGGGTGGGCTACAGATGTAAGGGGTGAAATAATGTCTCCACGTCACAATCACATTTTCAGAAAGATGGTCAACAAGGAAAGAGGACCTTGCACTCACACACTTCAAATTTGACAAGGTTTTCCAATATTTCCAAATGTGCATGAAAACCATTGGACTTCAGTTCCTTGCCTGGTATAAAGGTGGCAGTAAGTTTTCAGAACGTCAGCAGCCATTGTGAACAGCTTAGTGGTGAAAGTGAAACAACAGAGGCTTTTGCCTTGTTATAGGGAAAAAGGATTAAAAGAAAAGCAAAACTGTTGAAGCATACTGCTACAATGCCATCTTAGAGCTGACACTTCTGTTGCTATGGGTAACTGAATACATCTATCTGCCACTGGCCTCATTCTTCTGGATTTGGGACTTCCACTGGACAGGCAGATCAGGGAGGGAGACAGCTGAAGGCAAAGGCAGTGGCAAACCAAAGGGGCAGAAAGGATGGCTGCCTTGGGGTTCCATACCATGGCAGTGTGCTCTGGTCTGCACAACCTGGCATCTCCAAGTGTCCCTGCATCTCAAGGATTGCAGAGGTTCAAGACAACAGCTCAGCACTACCTTTTCCAGGACAATTAGGAATGGGCAATAAATGCTAGTCAGTGACATTTGCATCCTGTAAACAAATAAAAATACTGACACTTTGATAATGGGAATATCTCATAGCCTGATGCCTGCTCCAATGATGAGGAAATGTAGGAAGGTGATACCAAGCTTAGGATGTTAAGCAACCTAGGGCCAATAAAGATGCAGCAAGATCTACACAGGGGAGCCTAGGGATACTGAAACAGGCACATTTTACTTGATCCTCAATGTCAGATTTCAGTAATTCATTAAAGTTTCAGCACTCTACATCCTTTTGCTGCTTCCTTCATTGACCTTGCCATGTATTTGCACACACTAAGACATTAAATAGTGTTGGGGGAAATGATTCAATCTTACCATGTTTAGACCCCCTCATTAAACTCAGTGGCCAAGTCAGGGTAATCTGGAAGTCCCAGAAGCTCACTGAAATGCAAAGAAATCTCTTACTTCGCCATACCATACTTACTGATGTACAAAAGGAAAAAAAATGCCACACAGCATGCTTTAATCTATTAACTCAAGAATGCAGCTAGATACTCTTCTTAAGTCTTTGAAATGTGTTTCTAATTGTGCACTTCCTGCAACATCAGCTGATGTGGAGGCAGGCTGCTGACCTAGTTTTGCCTGAAGCCTGGTGGATGCTGGCATATCAAGGACCACTCAGAATTCCAACAGCCTAGCTGTCATCACAACCAAGTGAGGCATTGGTGTCATAGTTGGATGAGATGAGGAGCTATTGCTAATGCCAATGCCAGAAATACTCCAAGAGGAGCATATAGATGCTTCAAGCAGCCACTCCTCTATCATTTCAATGCACAGCTGCATCTCTGCACCACGAAGAGTGCAAAGATAGGCAGTGAATTCAGACGTCTTGTTCAGCCACTGATGCACAATGTTTATGGAGTTATCATCGCTTGCAGGATAGTTTGCTAGATGCTGTCTTCCATAAGGGTCACCAACGTTGTTTTTCATAAGGGTCACCAATCTCCTAACAGAGGAAACCAACAGTATTCACACCAGACATTGCCTGGTGTGATAAAACAGGCTCTTAACTGCCCTCTGAAATAGCCATGCAAGCCTTTAAGTTCAAGGATAATCAAGGATGGGCAACAAACACTAGCCTTGCCAGCCAAGGCCACATCTTTGAAATAATGAAGAAAAGAATGTCCACTTGGACTCTCGTCGGACCTCTCGCCGGCTAAACTAAAATAAAGAAGTTAATGGAACTCTTGTGGGGTCCGGAAGTTTTTGAGTCAACATTTTGGTGCCGTGACTCGGATCCCAACAAAGGGAACGTTTCTCTGGGCTGAATAAGTGACCGAGAGTTTGAATCGAGCATAATAGAGTGGTAGGGCGCCCCGAGGTATTTTACCTCAGACCACTCCTTATGTTCGGACAGTATATCTGCCCCTCACCCAGTGAGACTGGTACCTTGACGGGATCCAACAAATATCCGGACCAGGATCATAAGGTAAGAAATTGTCTTCTTTTTATGAGGTTGTGCTGCGGGTGACATTGGCTATTCTGTATTGTTCCTGAGATAAAGAGTCGGGACTGGGGATCCCGGTCAGGTGAAGTGGTCGCCACTACCTGACGGATTCGATCTAGAGAACTGCCTCCTTATGATATGGCCGGTTAAAATTAGAATATGATAGAGGAAGGGGGCAGACTCATTAAATTTCTCATCTCCGTGGTACAGTTAGAAAAGAAATAGTTAACAGAACTGCCTCCTTATGATATGGCCAGTTAAAATTAGAATATGATAGAGGAAGGGGGCAGACTAGTTAACAAGGGGAAACAGTAAGTTGAAGTATAAGATTGTGATACATCTAAAAGTGAAAGTGTGTTAGGGTGGTGTAGTTGTAGCTTAGAAAAATCAAGATAAGAGCATCGTGGAAACAATGACTGTAGTATTTAAGTAATATAATTTTACTTCATTCTGCCAAATAAATTCTAAACTCCTGTGCTACCTTTCATTATTGTTGCAACAGTTAGACTAATACTCAATTTAGACCCAGTCTGATGCTGAAAATTTGTAGAATATAAAGAAATGAAACCAAATACTATTAAATTGAGATCCGGCAAACCCAAACATTTGCACATGCAGATGCATCAAATTATCAAAGTACATAGATAGCCATAGTAATACTGAAATATTGTAGGCAACTTTGTGCTTTCATTTGGTCAGGTTTAAGACTTGAGAGGCAAAATAAAGGAAAGAATTCACAAAAAGCAAAAACTAATGCAACAGCTGTAACCTAAAAGACCTCAGAGTTAAACCTCAGACAATTGCCTAAACCATTAACAGCGTAAAGACATCAAGGCTGAGAGATAGACCGGAAGGGTTAAAGCAACAGCGCTGTAAAGAGAATCTAAGCTCTACTCGGGATCCCGGGCCTATGTCTGGCATACCGACTCTGTTTGATGAGGGGGATGATACCGATAGAGATGAGGAATGGGGATATTATCCTAGATTGCCAGTACCTCCCGTACACCCGCCTATTCCTGCTGCACCGCCCCCGCCGCCGTATCAGGCTCCCGAGGGATCCAGTGTGGCCGAACGGGTAAAAATAAACTCCAGAAAACAGGTGCCGTCTGACCTTTGGAGCGGGGTTAGTGGACTCCAAACTGGTCCCCAGTTGCAGTGTCCAATATGGCAGTTTCCAAATCCCAGAGCCGCTGATGACGATCAGGAACCGACAATTGGAGTTTATGTCCCCTGGAAGCCCCAAGAACTGATAATGATAATGAACCAAGCTCCGGATCGTAAGGAAAAACCAGCCCAATTCACCCAATATGTCCGAAGGACGGTTCAAATGTATAATGCCACCCCCCAAGATCTGTTCGCACTGTGCTGTATGATTTTAATCGCCTGAGGAAGCGACTAAATGGCAGGAACAAATGGGTGACGGCAATCAAAGGGGACCAGTTCGAAGTCATAGGGAGTTAGAGCAGAGATTTCCCCACGCTGACGCCCAAACAAACCATTTGATTCAGTCGTTAGAACGAGCTTTACAACAACCTGGAGTACTGGAGTGCAGACCTAAAACCTGGGGAGTCGGGAGGCGTTTATTGGGAGCGGTTTGTTGCCTGTTACGGAACATTTGCGGGTGATCAAGCCTTCAATCGAGGAGACGACTCACCTTTCTAACGCTACGGCTTTGCAATGTATCTGGACATGATCTGGACAAACAATATGAACTAGTCCGAGAATTCCCGGTCGCAAATGAGGCGAGCGGTGGTCTACTACTGGGATGGTCAGAACGAACCCAAACCACGAGCCAAGTTACAGGTAAAAACCGAATATTTTAAGTTGCATACCTGCCGATGCCTGCGTGTTTACAGTAATTGATCTACAACATGCATTTTTCGCCGTACCGCTACACCCGGACTCTCAGTACCTGTTTGCCTTTACATACCAAGGCCAGCAGTATACTTGGACCCGGCTGCCCCAGGGTTTTGTCCACTCCCCCACATTGTTTTCGCAGACCCTCCAGAAACAATTACAGACCCTGGAACTACCACAGGGATCGACAGTAGTACAGTATGTGGATGATTTGCTTGTCGCCAGTAACAGCGTGTCCAGCTGCGAAACTGATACCACAGTATTACTGAACTTCTTGCACTCCCTAGGATATGTCGTCCCACCCCAAAAGGTAAAACGCTCCCAAGTTGAGGTAGTTTCTGGGAGTTGTACTCTCAGTGGAAGTTTTTGAGTCAACAGGAGACAGTAAGGACTGCAGATGCTGGAAGCCAGAGTCAATAAACGTGAAACTGGAAAAGTACAGCACGTCGGACAACATCCAAGGAGCAGGAAAGTCAATGTTTTGGGCTGAAACCCTTTGTCAGAACACTTTTAGCTTCACATTTATTGCCATTGTGATTCTATTGATTAACCTGGAAGAGTGTTTTAGACTAGCCCAGGGGCCAATATGATGCTATCCAACAGGATGGTATGGTGGCTCAGTGGTTAGCACTGCTACCTCACAGCACCAGGGACCCTGGTTCGATTCCAGCCTCACGCAACTGTCTGTGTGGAGTTTGCACATTCTCCCCGTGTCTGCGTGGGTTTCCTCCGGGTGCTCTGGTTTCCTCCCATAGTCCAAAAATGTGCAGGGTAGGTGGATTGGCTGTGCTAAATTGCCCATAGTTCCCAGGGATGTTTAGGTTAGGTGGGTTAGACATGGAAAATTAGGGGAACCGGTCTTGGTAGGATGCTGTTCAGAGGGGTGGTGTGGACTTGTTGGGCTGAATGGCCTGCTTCCACACTGTAGGGATTCTATGACAAAAGCAAATAGCAGTTAAATCAGAGATAGTAGGAACTGCAGATGCTGGAGAATCCGAGACAACAAGGTGCAGGGCTGGATGAACACAGCAGGCCAAGCAGCATCATAGGAGCAGAAAGCTCTAGATTTACAAAAATGCCAGTCCAAAACATTGTCTTTTCCATTAATCTATGAAGGTATATGTATGTGCCCATAATCTAGGCCATCCACCTAACAAAGTAAAATGACAGATTAATATGGGTGACACCAGAATTAAGGAACAAACATCTTTCTGGCCACTAGAGGAGTGAACAGCTCTTTGAAGTAGTTCCAATGTAGATAGCCCAGAAGAAGAAAATAAGAAAGAACAAAAATTTGATTTTGCTGGTTACAAAGCAATTTTGATAGAAATTCTGGTGGAAATGTTGTGCATTCTTCAAAACAACAATGCTGAAATCAGTAAATGAATGAACACAATCTATGTTCAGTTAAGGTCACAAGGACTTGGAATATTTTTCCTTTTTCAAAGATTATCAAAATAACAGTGAGACAAAGATCTTTCAGAGATAAATTTTACAACACTGTAATAAAATTAATATTTCAGCTTACTTGGTCACCATATGCATGACGTCCAATGATGATTGGCTTGATCCAGCCGGATACCAGCCTAGGAATATTCCTACAGATGATCGCTTCTCGAAACACTGTGCCACCAAGTATGTTACGGATGGTCCCGTTGGGTGATTTCCACATTTTCTTTAACTTGAATTCCTTCACCCTACTCTCATCAGGAGTAATGGTGGCACATTTTATTCCTACATTATATTTTTTAATAGCTTCAGCAGCATCGATGGTCACTTGGTCATTAGTAGCATCACGGTTCTCAATTCCTAAGTCATAACTTAAATGAAAAAAAAATTCAATATTCTATTTTCAAACAAGATCCATTTGAAACACATGATACTGTATATTTATTTTCCAAAAGAATATTTATGTACTTCTCCTTTGAAAGCACACAGGGTTTCAGATTATTACTGCACCAGTGAAAGGTTTTCTATGTCCATTCAAAAGTGACTGGAGTTTCTGTTCAGATTCAAACACAAACTTAAACCTAAAATAGAAGTCTAAAGGAACAGTTCCACTGTCTATCCACTATTAAAGGCAATTGTATTCCAGAGCCAAATCTCAGGTTTCAGCATAAAACAATAAATTTAATGTAAACATTAATTTTGTTTATATTGTACTGCTTAAAAATGTTCCATAGTGCAAGATTTTCCAAATTATTTTGTATATGATCAGGATGGCAAAAAACTGGAATTAGGAATTTAGTAAAAATTTATTTGAAAATTACCATTGCTTTACATTTCTTCTTAAGTTAACCATCAACTTAAATGTAAATGTGTTTATTCCTTTTCCTGTAAAAAGTATAAAATTTAGTAACTGGATTGCTGTCAGTTTTCTACAAAGCTATCTCTTGACATTAGTGTAAATCTCAGTCTGTAAAACCATGAATGCACTTTCTATGATTTGTTTGAAGGTGGCCACCTTGTTTGTTTTGCTTTCCTTTTTGGGGAATAATAAGGAAGTAGTAGGAGGATTCATGGTCTGAGTATTCACTCATTGGTCACTCTTGAGCACCTTTCTGTGGCCAACAGGTGGTGGGACATGACCAAAATCAGCTCCTCCACGGCAACCTTCTGCACTGGCTCTATTCGTTGCCAACCGTGCTCAAATGAACCTGTAGGCTTATCCATAGGTTATCATACCACTAACTTATTGATTCTTTATTTGTGAAAAATTCCATTGTGGTTGCTTCTCTTTTAACTTGAAATAGTCCTAATACATCAGGATGGGCGTATGGTGCAAAAATTAATCAAGAAAAATATTCAAATAAAGAAAGGGATAGGAACAAAACTAACGTTCCATTACGTCAAATCATTTTGTTCCTGCAAGTAAAGAATGGATGAAAAATGGCTAATTTTTCTACTATAAAGTGTACTGTTATGGAATGGATAGGAACAGAGAAAAATAGGCAGTATTTATACTTAATATTGAAGACAATTTTTTTAAAGGAAAACATGTCAATCAATCAAAACAGCAATGTATAACTCTGAGACTGAAGAACTTATACCAAACACCAACTTCTAGAGAAAACACTATTCTTCCTTCTCCCTGTTCAAAAAAAAAGGCAAATAACATAAGAGCAGGTACAGAATAGAATTCCTAGACAGTCATCTAACCACTGTTCAAACACCAATAAAAAGCAGGTTGGGGTTGTGCAATTTCTTAATTTAAAAAAAATGCCCACAGCCAACTTCTTTCCCAAAAAGCCAAATTCATTTTGAGTTTAAAGCATTAAGAACATAAGACTTAGGAGCAGGACTAGGCCATTTGCCTATTGGATCCATTGTCCCAAATACACCTGCCCTCCCTCCCCCCAGAAAATGTTGTATTTTCTGGATTTCAAATTGTTTAAATACTTCAATGAAATAAATCAGTTTGCATCATAACAACTATAAATAATCATTAACACATGTTTACTAAATGTTTTCATGAAACACAAGTTAGATATACTGATTAATGGAAAGAATTTAGGGACATTATAAACCTTTCTTCTCATATGATGCACCTATCAGAACAACTGATATGGTATCAAGGTAAAAAATATCCATGCTTAATCTTTACTTTGAATGGAGTTGGCCAATGTCAACCATAATAGTAGAGTGTGGCAGGGGAAGGAACAAACATTATAATTAATGTGGCAAAATTATGGGAAGACATATATCAACCATGACCCACGTACTATTTTCTTTCCTGTAACCCTGACAGGATAGGTGCAGTATGTGGAGGTCAAGGGACCGCAGGAATGAAATAATAGTAAAACCTGAAAGAACTGCAGATGCTGTAAATCAGAGACAAAAATAGAAATTTATGGGAAAAACTCAGACGGCCTGGCAACATCTGTGGAGAGAAATCAGAGTTAACATTTCAGGTCAAGTGACCCTTCCTCAGAAGGAAATAATAGTAATAGCTCCTGAAAATAACATCTGGCATGGCTCATACAAAAAAAAATTGTCAATAGCTTTGATACAACTAGTAGTCAACAGTATTCACCGCATTCCTGAAAAAGAAAAAGCCAAAATTAAAAAACAATCTTTTATTTACATATATCGATCAAGTATTTTTGATCATTTTTCCACATACTGTACTTGGAAAATTGTGAAAACACAAGATAAATTAATAGTTTGAAAATGTAAATGATAAAAGTTTGATGTTTATTGAATAACTTTTTATACTTGGAGAAAAATACTGCATAAGTATTTTTAGTAACACAGTGAATCAGCAATTTTTAGTTCTATATGTTTACTCACCCAAACAGCAAATTGTGCAATAATCACTGATCTCTATTTCATCAAACAAAAACCGTTTGTTTAAACACTGAAAATATTGGGAAATGTCTTAATTTTGAAGCAAAATGTGGATTTCATAGGCTCGTTTTTTGAGCCAATAAAATGTTTAAATTAATAAAAGCCATATTTTAAATGTTCACTAAATTACAACCTGTGTAGGTTTATCTCCATATAGGGGAAGAGGAGCTTCTCTTTGATCAGTTCCCATATAACTCTGGTCATCTCATCGCCTTTCATTTCCACCACAGAGCCAACCTGGATCTTTTTACTGGACATTGTTTTGTTTAGTTTCTGCAAAGAAACAAAAATTATCAAATAATCCATTCAGAGTATCTTTCTATGATCAATATCTTACATAGATTTGAATTTTTGTGTTAATCCTTAAGTCTAGGATTGTAGTAGCTTGTTAGATCATCCTTACCAAATCTGACCTCAAATTCCAACAGTTTAACTTCGTCATGAAACCAAAGATTCCAAGATGATGTAATTTACACCCTGAAACTGGTTTTTCAATCATTTGAATGCTGAAACTGGTGTTACATTTTCCAAATATTTTAAAATACAATAGATTCACACATTTTTATGATCTTCATCCACCTTAGGATCTTCCATCTAATTAGTTGCATTCCTGCAGACTGTCACTTCTTAGAGACAGTTGACGGTCGCAGTAAAATAAAATGAATCAAAAGTTTAGCATTAAGAAGTGTGAGAGTGGGAGTCTAGCTTAGAGCATATGCGGAGACTTTTCCCCTTCTGTATCGTGGACGCTGTCTAGTCTATTTCTGGGAATCTGGGACGTGAGGTCACTTTCTCAATATCAGGAGGAATTTATTCAAACGGCTGTGACTCTTTCAAATTCTCTACCAGAGCTGTAGATGTTTAAATCATCCAGTGTATACCCAAGTCAAAGTTGGACAAATAGATTTTTTTAGTAAGGGGGTGGAGGGATTGTAGGCGGTGTTGGCTAAAGGGATTAATAGACATGTCAAAAGTGCTGGACGGGGCAATTCGAGATAGATCGAAATTAATGGTTTGAAGGGTCAAATGGCCGATTCCTGCTCCGATTCCTACATTTTTTTTAATGCAATCAAGTGACTAACAAAGAGCAAAAAAAAGGACGATTGACAGGCTGATCTTCAATAGGTTGGGAAAAGAAACCCACATAATTCCCTTATCCAATGGCAATATTTTCTACACAGGCGTCTGTCTCTGTCTGCCTGTCACCACTTGTTTGACGGATCTTGTACTCGGCACCACAGAGACGTTCCCCCACCTCCTCCTCTTGTTTTCATTGCAAATGCTACGTGGGACTGGAAACCTTGTCAACCCCAACCGGAGACGAGAAGAACTCGAGATCAGATCAGCGAAAGTGTCGACCGCCTCTTAACTTCAAATGGCCCGTTGAATCGTCGACGGGTGGGGGCAGGCAAGAAAACAATAACATAAAGGAATTCCCTCTGGCTTATCAGCAGCGATGGTGGCAAGGGGTCTATTCACCTCCTTGAAGTTTCGACCTATTTTGAGTGGCATCGTTCCCGAAATAGTGCATGTGGGGGCAGGTGAAGAGAAACATCCCTCACCTGTTCGAGAGTGCAGTGTCGATAAAGGGGATACACCAACCTCCCTCGGTGATTGCAGCAGCCGTTGTCACTCCGCACTGACAGTTCAAACGCTAGCCCTCGGCTGATCGAACCCAGCCGTCCCACGTGATTACAGCGCCGCCCAATCCGCTCGGACCTCGCACCCTGTCTCCACCCGCGCGGCCGGGCTTCGTCCAATCGGTATGCACCACATCAGGTGGCCTCGAGGCCGGTGGAACCGTTGGCAGCTTTCCGGCTCCTCATTCCTGGCTGGCTGCACCTAGAGCTCCGAGTCAGTGGTATACACTCCCGCGGTGCAGGCGGAGGGGGAACCAACCAACGACGGATCTCGGGAAGGGCGCCCATCTCGTAGGTCCAAAACTTAAACCGTTAAGAAATTCCTCGTCAAACGAACATCCGTGGCAACTAATCAATGGGATAGGCCGCATCGGTGCGACAGTAATTACCTTTTTAAAATATAAAGTTATGAGAGCGTATGGGTTGTACCCACTGCTACGCAGACAGCCTTCCGTGTTATTTTGCTAGTGTAGTAATATTGTTCTCATGAATCATCGCCCGGGGCTCTCAACTTCTTTCCTTCTAAAGCATTATCAAAATTCCAGAAAGACTATCACTATCGGTGTTTTTTTTTCCGGATTCACGTTTGTTCCACAATTAAGTACAAAATAACGTGAAACTTGTAGCTGAACAATAATTCTGCTAAGGGGGAAGGTACCTTCGTTCAGCACAGAGTCATATTATGGTCAGTGTTTACCCCTATCTCAGTGCTTCCATTTTCATTGATACCATTGCTTAAAATGCATCTTGGTGTAAGTGGGTTGTACCAAATGGGCTCAAGACCGTGCTGCAGGAAAAAAAAAGTACAACAATTTATCGAAGCCTTCACACTGCAATGTGTCTTCAAGGGCATCTCACTGGCCTTTGGTTCTGAGCGAGCTGTCTCTGGTGAAATGCCAATGTGTTTTCTTAAGTTTTGATGGGCAGAGGGTCAGTTTTTAGCTTTAATAAATCAAACTGAAAAGACTGGGACAAAAACAAAGTTGCTGGAAAAGCTCAGCAGGGCTGGCAGCATCTGTGAAGGAGAAAACATAGTTAACATTTCAGGTCCGGTGACCCTTCCTCAGAACTGATGGTGGCTGGGAAAACGTCAGTTTATATGCAAAAAATAGGGAGGTGGGTGGGGTAGGGAGTAAACAATAGGATAGAGCCCAAAGAGAGAGAGACAGTTAGCAACTCCTTTGTCTATCCAACTATCAGGCTGGGAGGATGAGTAGGTGTAGAGCTAGATGAACACAGCAGGCCAAGCAGCATCAGAGGAGCAAGAAGGCTGACGTTTCGGGCCTAGACCCCTCTTCAGAAATAAAAATTATCTATTAACTACTAGTTAATAGTTAATTATCTAATTAACTACTAGTTTTCTGACGAAGGGTCTAGGCCTGAAACGTCAGCCTTCCTACTCCGCTGATGCTGCTTGGTCTGCTGTGTTCATCCAGCTCTACACCTTGTTATCTCAGATTCTCCAGCATCTGCAGTTCCTACTATCTCTGGGAGGATGAGTAGTTGTTAATGGGGACTGCTAGTGACTAACAACAGGGGGTGTGTGATGGCAGGCTATGTGGTAACAAGGCCTGGTGTGTGGCGTGGGGGACTGGGACATGGGAGAGTTTAGGCCCTAAAATTATTGCACTTAATATTAGTCCAGAGGGCTGTAGGGTCCCCAAGCGGAAAATGAGGTGTTGTTCCTCCAGCTTCGCTTTGGGCTTCACTGGAACACTGTAGCAAGCCAGAGACAGATGTTGGCCAGGGAGCAGGGTGGTGCATTGAAGTGGCAGGCAACGGGTAGTTCAGGGTCTTTTTTGCGAGCAGAACGTAGATGTTCTGCGAAGCAGTCGCCAAGTCTATGCTTCGTTTCCCCAATGTAGAGGAGACCACATTCTGAGCAGCGAATGCAGTAGACTAGATTCTGGGAAGTGCAGGTGAAGTATGCAGGTGTTGCCGGTTACAGGGGAAGGTGCCGTAAGATTGTGAGGAGGTGTTGGGGGTGAAGAAAGTGTGGACCAGGGTGTTCTGGAGGGAACGGTCCCTGTGGAAGGCGGACAAGAGAGGGGAGGGGGAATATGTGTCTGGTGGTGGCATCTTGCTGGAGGTGGCAGAAATGGCGTCTGATGATCTTCTGGATGTGGATGCTGGTGGGATGGTAGGTGAGGATAAGGGGAACCCTATCGCTGTTGCGGTAGGGAAGAGAAGGGGTGAGGGCGGAAGTGCGGGAGATGGGTCGGACCTGGTTGAGAGCCCTGTCAACAACGGAGCTGGGGAATCCTCGGATTGAGACTGGGACTTTGTTCACTGAAGTGTAGGAAGTTGAGAGGTGACCTTATCGAGGTTTATAAAATCATAAGTGGCATAGATAAGGTGAAATGACAAGGGTCTTTTCCCTAGAGGGGAGGGGAGAGTTCAAAACTAGGGGGCATTTTTGTGGTGAGAGGAGAAAGATTTTAAAAAGGATGAGGGGCAACTTTTTTTTTTACACAGTGGTTCATGTGTTGAATGAACTGCCAGAGGAAGTGACGGGTACAGGTACAGTTAGAATATTTAAAAGCTATTTGGATAAGTACATGAATAAGAAAAGTTTGGAGGGCTATGGGGCAAGCGCAGGCAGGTAGGACTAGTTTAGTTTGGGAATAAGGTTGGCGTGGACTGGTTGGACCGAAGGGTCTGTTTCCATGCTGTATGACTCTATTCCCATTAAAGAGATTTGTAGTCCATGCATGTGGAGCAGGTTATTCTGTCATGAGTTATGGAAAATAAGCATTGCATATATTGTATAGTGCAGAAATGCTTTGGTTTTATTATGATATATTATTCAAGGAAAAAAATGACTATGAACAAAACATACCTGTGATATTCCCACAGACAAGAACCTTCTGTGATTTAATATATATCTGGTTTTTGATTTCCTTTTGAATGTGTCAATCCTTTCATGCCAGGCAAAAAAAAAAGTTCTCCCATTTTGCACAGTTTATTCAGCTGATTTCATTTCGCTGAAGATGGCAGGTAGCCTGGTTTAAATCGGTCACATATCACCATCCAGCACCTCTGCACATTTAAGTTTTTTTATCACCTCAGAAGATACATTCCTCTTCTCTGACATATATGGGCAAACACTCTGCCTCAGTAGCCAGTTTAACTCCATCTTTATGAACATGGAACTGTTTTCTACATCCAATTCTGCACAAAGTGCAGAAAAACAACTGAAATTTGTTTCTCTGGAATAAATAAACAATGAATGATTGTACTTCACTCTGAGGAAACTTGGTTCAATATCTTTTGTAACAAAGCCTCTGGTGTAAAAAGCAATTTGTTTTCAAATCCATGTATCTTCCTTTCTTTAATTTCCTCCAGCCCTGCAACTTGCTGTTGCGCCACCCCACGCCTAACAAAAAAAAATTCTGCTTCTTGCAATCACTTCAGTAGTGATTGTAACTTCAGATATCTGAGCCTTAAGCTGTGGGACTCCCTCTTGAAATCTCTCTTTTTCCCCTGTAAGGTATTCCTTAAAACCTACCTCTCTGGCTAATTTCTTAGTTATCTAACTGGCCTAATATATTCTCATTTAGCCTGATGTCTGATATTTTTCCTTTAATGTTCCCATGAACAGCTTTTGGAACTTTGTTTTACTTCAAGAAAGAGAAAAATGCAAGATGTTGTTAGTGAATAATTATTTTGAGTCCAAAGGCTACTAGTAACAGTATCAATCTGACTTCGAATCACACAAAGCAGCGAGGATTCAGAGTTAGTAGATCTGAGCCAAAGTCCAGAAATTCTGCAATTGAAGCACATTTTGCTCTTATCTCCGTACCAAGGACAGTGGCAAGAGTTTAAAGAGTGAACCTGAGGGAGAGAAGAAAATAGCAGCAAGAGTCCGTCTGAGAGGGAGTAGTGCAACAGGAGCAAGTATTTGAAGAGTGAACATGAGAGGGAATAGTGAGATAGCAGCAAGTGTTTGAGTGAACTCAAGAAGGACGAGTGAGATAGCAATAGGAGATTAAAAATGAACTCCGGGTAAAGGAGACCACAAAGAGACTTCAATCAAAAGCAATGAAGCTGATGACAGTTTAAAGAGCAATCTTGGGCTGAATAGTAAGATAGAAGCAACAATTTACAGTATGAGTTTTGACAGGGAGCAGTGAGACAGTGGCAAAAGTTTAAAGAGTGAGTCTGAGAAGGAGCAGTGAAACAGCAGTGAGAGTTTTAAAGAGTGAAGCTGAGAAAGAGCAATGAGTGAGAACAGTGTTTTACACTCACTGGGGTCAGGATTGCAGCAGGGAGGCCCAAAAATTGTCATCAGAGGACATTCATTTTCATCCTGGCACAAGTAATAGGTATCTTTTTGGATCAATTAAATAGCCTATGAAGTCCGCTCAGCAAAATCTTCACTATTTGGTTTGCCACCCTGAGGCTGAAACTAAAGCCAGGGATGGAAGCATCCTCTGTCCTGCTAGGAACTGCCCTTACCAACCACTGCACGTGGCAATGGCTGCAGTGCCCCTTCTTGATGACAGTCTGGCATCTATGGTCTTATTAAATTCAACAAATTTTACCTTTTCTTCAAGGTTATGCCCAAAGTGTGGGGCACTTTCTATCTTTGTTATGCTTCACTGACTATTGTGTTGTAAGACTGATGTTTTATTACAAGAGGGTGTCCTTTTCGCCCTGCAGTCTTGACAAATCATCATCATCATCATCATCCCTAATTCAAAGGCAAGTGATTTCACAGGCCGTCCCTTCAAACATAGCCTAGGCTTGGGTAATACATAATTTTTCAGTTATAGGGAGAGGCTGAATAGGCTGGGTTTTTTTTTCCGTGGAGCATCGGACGCTAAGGAGAGACCTTACAGAAGTTTGTAAAATCATGAGGGGTATGGATAGGGTGAATAGCCAAGGTCTTTTTCTGAGGATAAGAGAGACCAAAACTAGAGGGCATAGGTTTAAGTTGGAGGGAACAGATTTAAAAATGACCTAAGGGATAATATTTTCATGCAGAAGGTAGTGTCTGTATGGAACAAGCTGCCAGAGGAAGTGGTGGAGGCAGGCACAATTACCACATTTAAAAGGCATCTGAATGGGTATATGAATAGGAAGGGTTGAGGGATATGGGTCAAATAGCTTAGTGGTTAGCACTGGTGCCTCACAGCACCAGACACGAGGGTTTGATTCCAGCCTTGGGCGACTGTGTGTGGAGTTTGCACATTCTCCCCGTGTCTGCGTGGGTTTACTCTGGGTGCTCCAGTTTCCTCCCACACTCCATAGATGTGCAGGTTAGGTGGATTGGCCATGCTAAATTGCCCATGGTGTCCAGGGATGTGTAGGCTAGGTGATTAGCCTTGGGAAAAATGCAGGATTACAGGGATAGGTCTGGCTGGGATGCTCTTTGGAGGAGCGGTTTGGACTCGATGGACCAAATGGCCTGCTTCCACACTAGAGATTCTATGAAATGCCGGCAAATAGGACTAGGTCAGATTGGGATGTCTGGTTGGTGTGGATGATGAGTTGGACCGAAGGGTCTCTTTCCGTGTTGTATGACTCTGACTCTTAACTGGATCCTGAAAATTCACCCGTTGATCCAAAAACATAAGGACAGGACTTTGTTTATTATTTGTATGTCTTAGGTTCTCTTTCAAGTTAGTTCCTATTCTTCTCTCATAGTCTCTCTGCTTCTCTCATTTCCTTTTATGTTTCCTCTGAGCTTCCTATATACAGCCTCGTTGTCACTTAAAGTATTATCAATCTGACATCGTTACATGTGCCCTTTTTCTGTTTCATCTTATTTTTTCTTTTCTAAGAGTCCACTGAATATGGCACGAGAAATTCAAACAGAGAATGTATACCTATATTGTTGGATAAAAGCTGCCATATGTACCAAAATAAAAATGTTATTCATATCTTCATTGTCTGTGTTGGTGACATGATTTTGATATAAACTTTAAAAGTCCCAAATTGAATAATTTGCAATGATGCAGAATCATAATCATTTCCAGCAGGACCACTGTGTTAGAGAAAAAAACTTTGTGAAAAAGACGACTGCTCTGCATCAAAATCCTAACCAATCAGTTCCAACATAAGAGCTGAATTTCAAAGTTGATGTGCGAATGATTGTTCTTGACATGAGGTCTGCATTTGAGTCTCTCATCAAGCAGCCCAAGCAAGTCGATGACCAGTTGCAGTCTTACTCAGCGCATGTTTGAGATTGTTGGAGGTCAACAATTACAGCCTCAAGCTATCTCTGCAGGAGCTCCTCAGTGTAGATATTTTTCTAATCAACCTGTTCAGAGATGTTCCTACACACCACTGGAGAGATGGGATTTGAACACGGGCCTCATGGCTTAGAGGTACGGACAATTCCACTGTCCAATGAATGTGATGAATGCACAATGTTCAGCGCTATTTGTGATTCCTTAGATACTCAAACAGTCCATGTCCATATGCAGCAGGACCTGGACAATATCCAGTCTTGAGACTAAGTGGCAACTAACACACATGCCACACAGTGCTAGGCAATGACTATTTCCAACATGACAGAATTTGGTTATTGTGCTTGACATCAAATGGCATTACCATCCTTGAATACCCTAAAATGTGGTTACCATTTTAAAGAATGAACTGGACCAGCCAGTGGGTTTTGGTTCTGCCTAAGCCCCAAATCCAGCCAGCATATGAATTGTTCTGGATCGGCTATAGACTAGAGGTGAAGGAATAGTATGAGTCCAGTATTTAAATACTGGGCTACAGCACCATAGAATCTTGGAGCATGGAAACAAACCCCTCACTCATCCACGGGGACCAGATTTCTCCAACTAAACTTGTCCCATTTGACTGTGTTTGGCCCCCTATGTTCTAAATGTTCCCATTTATGTACTGGTCTAAATGTCTCAAATGTTGTAACAGTACCTGCATCTTCCACTTCCTCTAGCAGTTCATTCAATATACACACCACCGTCTATGTGAAAAAGTGGCTGCTCAGGTCCCTTTTAAATCTTTACCATCTCACCTTAAACCTATGCCAAGACAACAAGGTGCAGAGCTGGATGAACACAGCAGGCCAAGCAGCTCATCTGATGAAGGGTCTAGGCCCGAAACGTAGCCTTTTTGCTCCTATGATGCTGCTTGGCCTGCTGTGTTCATCCAGCTCTGCACCTTGTTGTCTCGGATTCTCCAGCATCTGCAGTTCCTACTATCTCTTAAACCTATGCTATCTAGTTTTGAATTCTCCTATGCTAGGGAAAAGACCTTGGCTAGTAACCTTTTCTGAGCCCTGCATGATTTTATTAATCTCCAAAAGGTCATCCCTCAACTTCCTACGGTCCAGGGAAAAAAGGTCCCAACGTATCCAATGTCTCCTTATAATTCAAACTCCCCAGTCCCAGTAACATTCTTGCAAGTCTTTTCTGTATCCTTTCCAATTTAATATCCTTCCTATAGCAGGACGACCACATTATACGCAAGACTCCAACAGTGGCTTCACCAATGTCCTGTACAGCCACAACATGACGTTCCAACTCGTATATTTGGTGCTCTGAACAATGAAGGCAAACATGTCAAATGCTTTCTTCATCACCCTGTCTACCTGTGACACCACTTTCAAGGAATTATGTACCTGAATTCTTCGGTTTCTCTGTTCGACAACACTCCCCAGTGCCCCATCATTAGCTGAATCAGATGGTAGAAATTCAACAGTAAGTAACTCACTTCCTGATTTCCTAAAGCCTGTTTACCATTTACAAGGCACAAGCCAGAAATGTGAATGAAATACCTCCACTTACCTGGATAGATACAGCTTCAAAAACACATTGAGAAGTTGCACAGCCCAGATCTCTTGTGCAATTAGAGACAGGCAATAATTGCTGCCCTAGCCAGCGACAGCCACACCCCAAGAACGAATATATAAAAAAAATACACCCACGTTGCAGAGGTGGAAAATTTACCAGGTTAGGAGGGTAGAACCAGCCTGTGCACGCCGCCGCAGCCAGGCGAAGTGTCGGGCACGCCTGTCGGCGGCGCGCACGCTGCTACCGGCGCTCTCGGGAGCGCGCAAGTCGCCGCCTGCCTTCCATTGGTTTGATGTCGGTGAAAGGAGGGAGCGGTTTAGGGGCTGAGATAATATGAGGGTGAGGTGCTTCTGGAGCTGGGACAGAGGCCTCTGTCTGTCTGCCCTTTCAGTCGGCGGACGGGTGTGGAGCTTGTGAGAGGTGAGTACCCCGGTAGACCTGGCCGGGCTCTCTGAAATAGACTCGGGTTGAGTTGAGGCCGTTCAGGCCCTGGTCTGGGATGTCGATGTTTGTTTTGGTGTCATCACGCGCCCGGCGGTGTCCTCATCTCCCTCCTTTTTTATGGATTAGCTTCCCGGTGGGGAAGGAGGTGACACTTGCAGGGGAGCTGGACTGGTACTACTCCTTCACCTCTAGTCTGCAGCCGATCCAGAGCAGTTCATATACCGGTTGGGTGTGGGGCTTAGGCAGAGTGCAACCCCCAGCTCAGAAATATCTATGAAATGAGGTGAGATGGAACCTCTCGGTTTGGTTATCCTTCATGTGATGTGGCTGCGTTCAGTCTCATGATCAGCAGCAACTCCTCTCTCCGCTGTGTTATGGGCGGGTATTTGTAGTGCAGTGTTCAACATAACGTTTGGCGTCTGTTTCTGAAATGTACCTGTTGTCATTGATCGCTTTCACTTGGCTAATTTCGGCCTCCTGGATAATAATGCCATCAAAGGATAGAATAAAGATGGTTTTCAAGCTTTTGCTATTCGTCGGTCACTTGTGTCTATACCTATGGATTCATTCTTGAATCTGAAGTTTTTGTTAATCACTAATTACCGTGAAGCAAGCTGCCCATCCCTTAGGATATATTCAATCCTAAAACAGCATCGCTAAGAGCAATCCTTTCTAAACGGCCCAGATCTACAAAACCCAAACAGGAATAACTGTAAACATGTATACAGTGTTCTCTTCTATGAACGATGTGGACCAGAGTGCCACGATTCACAGGGTGGCCCAGAGGATATAGTTTTGGACACCCCACCCGTTGGAAAGTGTGTTACCTTTGTTGTTGAAGATTGGTAAACCCTGACAGGAAAATAAAATACTTTCGCTGCATGAGAGTTCGAGCTGTAAATGAACCTAACTACATTTGCTGGCCTTCTGAGAAATACTATCCTGAGGATTAGGACTGCAGACGTTAAGAATTGGCAAGCAAAGAGATTCCAGAATTTAGAATAAGTGACAAGAACCAATGAACATATCAAGAACTTTTATTTTGAGTTGGGGTCGATGGTTAATTCTTTTTCCCCTAAGCAATCGTTATACTTTGTGAATTGTAATATGTCCTAAACCACCAGAAAATCATTGATTAGGTGTGCTGCTGCCAAATTAATTTAATACTGGCACGAGTCAAGTAGCTGTCAAAGGGACACGGGCCTAGAAATAGTTTGATAGAGGAATAATTCTGGACGGAGGTTCGAAGTAATGAGTGCTTCAAGAATTAATGCTAGAACTATTGTTTTGAATGTACGTCAACAACTTAGATTTGGCAATTCATCAAGCGTCAGGTAAAATTACAAGTGCATGTAAACTGGGGAGCCACGTCATCTAGAAAAAAAAATGAAATCTGCGTTCGCAGGTGGTAGATAAATGGGAGATACTTTTACAGATGCTGTTGAAAGAAACTTATTGGTGTTAGATATTAAGTCTTTATCTCCTAAGAATGGTTATCACAACTAATTTGTGTGGATAATATTGTGATTTAACCTATGTAAAGCTTTCTTAGTTGACTGAACTTCACGTTAATATATTTGTGCTGCTTCCTTAAATAAGATATACATTGGAGAGCTGGTTTACTGGTTTGTGTCACTATTGGTCTAAACAATATCGGTATATTCATTTAGTATGGATCAGAAATCAATAAGGCAAACGGAATAGTGAAAGACTTTGCTAATTCAGTAGAATATAAATTTGGAAGATGACAGAGTATCCATGCAGCAGTTTGGTCAGAATGTAGCTTAAATGTTGTCCCTATGTTTGGTCATCATTCCAAGATCCTTGAATGCTGTGGTATTGTGATAATATGCTTCTTCTAATACATGAGGTAAAATGGGTAAATTCATCTCCTCCTCTATGTTTAATTCACACTTTGGCACTTCAGCTCTATTTTGTTAATTAGTACAGTAAGTGATGAAGTTACAGAAAAAAACATAATGAAATGTTCATCTAATTAATTTCCAGCCAGAGAGAATCCATGTGTATAAATGTCTAACCATATTCTACCATTTATTAAATTTTAAATTAAGTTTACTTGGTATGGTAAATATTTTAAGTATTTATAAACCTTTGTGGATCTTAAGTTATGATATAGATGCAAAATTACACTTCTGAATTTTAAAATGCTCCTATGTTTCATATTATCTTTCTACTGTGTGCTATAATGCTTGAATAAATATCTTAATATTGCATTAACAACTTTTTCCATCAAATGTTATTGCTGAAAGCATCTATCTGCTGTGATTGAAAATGTTAAATGCCCTAAATAACCAAATATAAATTCACCAAATGAAATATCTATCCCTGTCAGAACATTTCAAAGTCATGTAGAACCCTTGCCGTTTAAAAATGTCATATCACTTGATATAGCACTTCTCAGGCCCCTTTCTAGTGTCACTATATGCAAATCACAACTAATTTAGATTACTGCTGCTTGCATCTTCACCCATACTATGGCAAGAACTCCCAGTATTCTCATCCTTGTCAACTATTGATAAGTCACTGTATTTTTAAATTTCATCTTTATTTAGATCAATGTAAATTCTGGAAGTTTGAGAGTAAGACTCAAGATGATGCCTCTGCAGCATTTATAGAGGCAGCAGATCAGCTGACTGACCTTCTCTATATTTCCACAGTTTTGTTTTCTTGTCCTTGACCTTATCTACCTCTGTGTCCTTCAGCTATATATTGCCCCAAGCAACATCTGCTCCACAGTCAGTGCATTAGTCCATATTTGTGTCTCTGTTGCATGACATTGTGCATCAGCAGTGCTTTGAATGTTATAACTTCAATTAAGTAACTGTTTGAGATCAGTAAAAATCCTTAACTTGTGATTTTTACTTGGAACAAAAAATTGACCATGGCTGGAAGGGAAAGCGTAATGTGTTAGTAATTGGAGATTCAATAACTAACATGACTATAGTTTGAGAGCAAGATTGGGAGTCCCATATGACAAGTTGATTTGCTGATGCAAGGATGAGGGGCCATCTAAAACTGGATTGCAAGGTTGTTGGGAAAGGACGGCAATGCAATCCAGTCATTTTGATCCATTTCGAGATTAACAGAATGGTGATGGATATGCAAAATACTCCATATAAAAACTGAAAGAACCGTGGATGCTGTAAATCGGGAACAAAAAGAAAAGTTGCTGGAAAAGCTCAGCAGGTCTGGCAGTACCTGGGAAGAAAAAAGCCAGAGTTAACATTTCAGAATTCTGAGGAAGGGTCACCGGACCCGAAACGTTAACTCTGACTTTTTTCTTCACAGATGCTGCCAGACCTGCTGAGCTTTTCCAGCAACTTCTGTTGTTGTTACATGCAAAATATTCTGTTTGTAGAATACCAGGAACTAGGAGTTAAATTAATGAACAGAGCCACAAGGTTTTAAATGGTTCCTTTTATATTTATGTTACTGTCATGGTCAGCAATTATTGTTCATTCCTGATCATTTTTGAGAAGGTGGTGGTAAGTCACCTTCTTGATGTCCTGGTTGAGATGAATTTACTTCCAACAGCCTCAGTCAACTTCCTTTGTGCTGGGTTTAACTCCAGTCAATGGTGCCATTTTCCCTCTACCACTGACTCCAACTTTAATTGTGCTTTTTTTTTTGCCAACCTAAGTGAATGCTTCTGTGATGGCACTTTTCACTTTGTCTGTAAAATTCAGGTCTTCATCAATATTTGGTTAGAGGCTGTGCTGAGATCTGGAAATGCAAGTCACAGACAGAATTTAAACTGAGCATTGCTGGGTTGATTATTGATGAATAAGAGTTTCTTGGTAGCATTGTTGATAAAAGCTTCCAGCACAGTGATTGAATATAGACTGGTGCATTTGGTTTGGATTTGTATTGTTTTTTTGTGGATCGGGAAATACCTGCACAATTTTATGTCTGTCATCTTCAAATACTCATCCAAAGTCTCCTCTCTCACACACAAACTTGCAATTCATCTGTTTGTTGTCCCATTACTTATTTGTGTCGTAGATAGAATGTCTCTTTGGTTTAAAGGCAGCATCAACTTAATGAAGGTTATCGTTAATATTTGCTGCAAATGAGTAGCATACAACAGCTAGCTTTACCAGTTGCTTAAATTTTTTAGTTTGATGTAGACTGAGCAGTTTTTAGTTTTGATTTCAAGCCTGTTCATGAGTTTCTGCAATGTGCAGCAAGCAGTGGTTTGATCGGAGTTAACTGTCATCCTGCTTGATAACTTTGATGCCAAAATAGGGTATAAAGCTATGTGGTGAGCAAGTGGTTTGAGCCCTAGTTATGAGATTGCCAATAACGCCAATCCTGTAGCACATGGAATTGTAATAGTCCCAATGTGTATTTCCACTGGTGACAGGAGTGAACCTATGAGCAGATTGCTTTAATTAGTTGATCGAGGAAAGGGAATTAATTTGACTACTCCATTTTAGAAGTGAATTTGCCAGTATTGGAGCATAGTAATTGAATGATACAGTTGGCTTCAGCATTGATTTTATTGTCACGTGTTCGGAAATACAGTGAAAAGCTTTGTTTACAAGGGGTACAGGCAAATTAGAGCGAGCAAACGATGTACAGATCAAAAAGATTTAGAGGCATACAGGTTACATTGCAGGTTACATTACTTGAGACTAGAGTCCACTCAACAGTCTGATGATGGCCAGAAATAAGTTGTTCCTGGACCTGCTTGTGCGTGTTCATGCTTTTGTACCTTCTGCCTGACAGAAGAGGTTGAAGGAGGTTATTGCCAGGGTGTGATGGGCCTTTGATGTTGGCCGCCTTTCCGCGGCAGCAAGCCATGTAAATAGTCCATGGATGGAAGGTTGGCTTCTGTGATGTTCTGGGCTGTGCACACCACCACCTTCTGTAGTTTCTTACGGTCCTGGGCAGATCAGTTGCCATACCAGGCCGTTATGCACCTGGGCAGTTTGCTTTCAATGGTGCTTCTGTAG